GAATGCATCTCTACCCCTGTGCCTTGTGCGGTGTTCAGCCTGGAATACGTTACGGATGCACTTAAACAAAACCAGCCTTTGACATTACTCTGTTTGACAGGTTTTTATATGTTTAATTTACTCCCTTGTGTTTTTTGGGGGGGCCAAATGGGATAGGCGAAATATCAAATAAAAATACATTATCCACCTTTAGGCTCTCTCTCTCTCTCTCCCCACCACTTCCCCTGACCCCCCCCCCTCCCCAGCTGCCTCCGCTGCCAAATCTCATGTCATTTTAGTGCGGTTATTTTTTCCAAAGAGGCAACTATTACAGCGTCAGCCCCCATATTGGAGGGAACAGCGGGGCGCCCAAGATACGTATCTATCAGCAGCTGACAAGTCATCATCAGGGAAGTAAATGGATGATGTTTCAGCTGCAGGGCTTTGGAGATAAAACCTGCCCTTGTTACGAGGAGAAATTACTCCTGCCTGATGCACACTGTTGTCTTTGAGCTAAGCACCCCCAGCCCCTGACACTGCTCTGACAGGGCTGCTGATTACAGCCTGGCCCCACATTAGACAGAAGATATGGAGCAATTCTCTCTCTCTCTCTCTCACCATTAGAGCTGCAATAACAAGCCACTCATTACAGTTATTTGGGGAGGGGTGAGAGACCCCTCTCCCCCTCCCTCCATTTTGCACATGTCATTCTTAGCCATTTACATTTAATGACGCCCTTGAATGCAACCATAAATTGCGCCTCAAATGATGGACAAGAGTTGGCTTACACTTGAGTGGTCCAAAATAACCACCCAAAAAAAACCCTGAAGATGAAGCAATAATTACTCTGGGATTGTCATCCCGTAACAATAGGGAGGAGTTGGCAGGGGCTCTTTAAGTACATAAGGGTGTTTGAAACTGTCTTGCTTGATCAGACAAAGGTCTCATCTAGAACAGCTGCAGCCATGTCTTGATTTTTTTCGTCCCTCTGCTCCCCAATGCGATTTGTCATCTTACTAGGAGAAAGGGGATTGCTTCAGAACTGGGATTCCCAAGTCAGTGTTCTCCAAACTTTCTCTCTCTCTCTGGAAAGCCCATTTCATATTTGCTGAGGAACCTCTGAACATCTACGACAGACTCTCTGTGCATCACAGAAGACTCTCAGACATATTGTGTACCAGTTCACGGGGAACATTGGCTAGGCCTGTTTGGCACTGGCTGTCACCCTGTGGGACTTGAGCAGGCCCCCAGAATGGGCCCAGAACTCTTCTGGGGCTGTGCAGAGGAATTTGTCAAGGAATTTGTTAGCCATTACTGATATTCTGGGGGACGCGGGTGGCGCTGTGGGTAAAACCTCAGTGCCTAGGACTTGCCGATCGTCAGGTCGGCGGTTCGAATCCCCGCGGCAGGGTGCGCTCCCGTCGTTCAGTCCCAGCACCTGCCAACCTAGCAGTTCGAAAGCACCCCCGGGTGCAAGTAGATAAATAGGGACCGCTTACCAGCGGGAAGGTAAACGTCGTTCCGTGTGCTGCGCTGGCTCACCAGATGCAGCTTGTCACGCTGGCCACGTGACCCGGAAGTGTCTGCGGACAGCGCTGGCTCCCGGCCTATAGAGTGAGATGAGCGCACAACCCTAGAGTCTGGCATGACTGGCCCGTACGGGCAGGGGTACCTTTACCTTTACCTTACTGATATTCTGACTAGGGCAGTGTTTCCCAACCTTGGGCCTCCAGCTGTTTTTAAACTACAATTCCCATCATCCCTGACCACTGGTCTTGCTAGCTAGGGATGATGGGAGTTGTAGTCCAAAAACAGCTGGAGGCCCAAGGTTGGGAAACACTGGACTAGGGAATCCCAGATAATCTTCCAAGGAACCATGTCTAGAGCAGTGTTTCCCAAACGTTTTTGGGCAACGGCACACCTGTGTACTGAAAAAAAATCTCGCGGCACACCACCATTAAAGCCCCGCCCCGTGACGTCAGCGCGCAGCGTCACGCCGGGAGGGACGCACAAAAGTGAAAGTTTTTTCCCTCCCCCTTGCTGGGGAACCTCCAAGCTTTGGGGGTGGGAGGAGGCAGCAGAGCGAGGGACTGAGGGACGGCGGCAACTGAGGCGGCGGCGGCTGAGGCAGAGCTGGGAAGGGGGTTTCCAGGGGACACGGCAGCTCCTCGAAAGGCTTCTCTCAGCTGCGCTCAATCCGCCTCGGAGAGGATTTCCCCTCCGGTCCCATGCGTTCGTTTGGGGCATCGCTCCGGCTGCTCCCTCTCCCGCCGCGCAGGAGCGATGCCTCTCTCTGGCTCTCCCTCCGCGCAGGCTGAGGGAGGGAGGGAGGGGCGCGTGTGACCCGTCTCTGCTGGGAGACCAAACCCAGCGAGGCAGAGTCGCGCGGAGGCGCCCAGGCAGCGCTGCCGGCTGCGAGGAGGAGCGCCAGGCAGCAGCAGGAGGCGCGGCCTCTCCTCGCCGCCGCCGCCCCGCCTCTCGCCGCCCGACTCGCCCGCCTCCCTCCAGGCATCTCGCGGCACACGAGGCAACGTCTCACGGCACACTCGTGTGCCGCGGAACACCGGTTGGGAAACACTGGTCTAGAGCACCGTTTGAAAACCAGGGTCCTAGGTTAACTTCTGAAAAGTCTTGAAAGACAGCTCATAGGAGTAGTCAGCTGTATAGACAGTTGAATGGAACACTTACTACCTAGACTAAGCTGAATTGGAGCATATCAATTTATGAGTGGATTTAAAATTAAATGGCTTTTCTGTGATAATGCTTCAAAATATATGCAGAACAAATCTAACCCATTGGCTGGTAAAAATGCTCCTACCTTTCGCTGACGAATGCCGCCAACATGCTCAGATAGTTCCTGCTTTAATTGGTTGCATTACAGGCAACTCCCCATTTGCGCATGACCAGCGCAACTGCTAACGCTGACACTCACACTGGTTTTAGCGCCGAAAGAGGGCGGGGCAGGCGTGGACTGAACCAGAAGGGTCCCACTGATGCACGTAGTGGTTAGTAATGGAACCCCAGTGTGAGCAAGGATTCCCATGTATTTTGCTTTCCCCACTTTTTGTAGGGAGGTGTCGCATGCTAAAACCGAAACATGTTTGAAAACACCACTGCTCTGACAAACCTTCAGAATCAAAATTCTGAGGCGTCTGCTTCAACTACGTCTGGGATTTTTCCAGCTCTGTGTGTTTGTCTGTGTGTCTCGGTAATGGATGTGTCAGAGAGTAGACACATAGCACGTGATCCTGGTACAGAGTTCTGCAAATTCTTGAGTGCAAAGTGCTGGATTATGCTTAAGTAAACATTTGAAATATGGTACAGAGTTGTGTGTCATGTCTTCCCTAACTAGACCTGCAAGGTGTGCACTGTTCCAAGTAAGTCGTATTGGTTGCGTGTAGTGTACGAAATGTATTGACATTTAACCGGCCATCTAAGTTGACCCTGCAATGCAATTTACTGTGTCTATTCAGCAGTCAGTTGTATTGAATTGATTGGGGCTTATTCCCAGGTAAGTGGGGTTAGCCTTAAAGCGCAATCCTATTCCCACTGCTCTGAGAGTAAATCCCATTGAACCTAGGTAGCGCTTCCTTCTGAATAAACTTGCATTGGATTGTACTACTGAAATAAGTACAAATGTTTTGAAAGAGAAGAGGGGACCCTGTAAGGTAGTTTACAAAGTGCTATAGCAATGAACTGAAATATAGAAAAAATATATCTTTTGTAACAGCAGAGTTTTGTGGCTCCTTGAGACAAACGAACTCATTGTGGTGTAAACTTTTGTGGTATAAGCTGTCTGTCTCTCACACACAGACCCAGCAAAATACAATAAATGCAGTAAACCTAAACTTGAGTTAGCACTTTTCAATGAGTGAGATCTGATTTGATTAAGCAAAGATAAAAATAGGACAGGAAATGAAGCCAGGAAAAGAAATATCAGCCAAATGCAAGCTGGAATGAAAACATTTTTCCTTCTCGGCAGTAGTCTTAAGAGCACTGTTGCCTTGTGTCAATAGGCAAGCATTCTGATATTTAGGGGCTGCAATTTTAAGGCGCTTGTTCTTAGTCAACGCAACTCCAATCTGATCCCTCCCTCCCAAAGTATATACAGTGGGGATTGATCTCCTGGTGTACATGCTGATATGCGGGCAATGTGAACAGATAAAATGGGGAAATAACTTTCCCTGCAACGGCTTGCCAGTATCCCATTGTGCCGCAGCGGTAGCAGATTTCAGAGGGGACACTATTTTTCCCTTGCTCTCAGCCTCTATCTCTGTGTCTCCAACATAGGACCGAAGGGGTATGTGTGTGAAGTTATTGCTTCTGCCGTGAACATATATTATCTAGCACCCATTTGCTTATTTCATGCATGGCTGTAAGCTGGTCCAAACATGTCAGATGTGCAAGGACCCAAGGGGCCTTGCAAGGTCATAGCGTGACTAAGTAGATGCGAATGAAGATCCTAAGTAAGAACAGTGTAAATACCTTTCCCTACTTAACCAGGCCTTTCTTTTACTGAGTTTGTTAGATGAAAATGGGTACCAGTATCCTGGAGGTTAAGGGACGCAGGTGGCGCTGTGGGTTAAACCACAGAGCCTAGGACTTGCCGATCAGAAGGTCGGCGGTTCGAATCCCCGCGACGGGGTGAGCTCCCGTTGCTCGGTCCCTGCTCCTGCCAACCTAGAAGTTCGAAAGCACTCCTGGGTGCAAGTAGATAAATAGGGACTGCTTACTAGTGGGAAGGTAAACGGCATTTCCGTGCGCTGCTCTGGTTTGCCAGAAGTGGCTTAGTCATGCTGGCCACATGACCCAGAAGCTGTACGCTGGCTCCCTCGGCCAATAAAGTGAGATGACTGCCGCAACCCCAGAGTCGGCCACGACTGGACCTAATGGTCAGGGGTCCCTTTACCTTTTATCCTGGAGGTTAGCCCTTGTGATTTTAGAGCTGTGGAAATTGGCAATGTGTCCAGTGATTGGGAAGTTCCTCTGGTTAAGAGTGTCCTTATTTTATTTTTTTCCAGGTCCTAATAGCCGATGACTACTCAGACCCTTTTGATGCCAAAAGTGAGGGCAGCAAGACAGGCAAAGGAGAAAACACTGGCTACATGGAACCATATGAAGCCCAGAGGATCATGACAGGTAAGGATGTATATAGAGTGGCATATGCCATGTTATGGGTGCGACGTTTCAGCCAGTGCTGCTGCTTTTCCGCTCTTGGTCATTTCACTGAGGCTTACCTGAGAGCGGCACTCAGGCTGACCGCATTATTTATGTATAGAATTGCCGAGCCTTGCTGACGTAAGCCAGCAGACTTCTTTAACCAGTGCTTTTGGCTTCCCCGCATGTACTTCCCTTCCTTTTCCAGAACTGGATGGTGGTCCACAGGCTGAAAACGCCATTTGCAGTCTGTCTGCTTGCCATTTCAAGGCTCAGTCCAGGATTGAAACCTGCCAGAAAGCTGCAATTGGCATTGGGCTCCTTCTTTATCTTTGTAGAGGCAATAAATAGTCATGTGCACATTCTTTGTGTGTGGCATTGCATGCGTACTGTATGTGTTTTCCTCTAAAGGAAGTAAGCACCCTTGATTTAGAGGAATAATATCCTAATGTGGAATATGGCGCTCAGTAGAGGTTCTTGAGAGGTCATTTGGCCAGTGTGGTGTAGTGGTTAAGAGTCTCGTAATCTGGGGAACCGGGTTCGCGTCTCCGCTCCTCCACATGCAGCTGCTGGGCCAGTCACACTTCTCTGAAGTCTCTCAGCCCCACTCACCTCACAGAGTGTTTGTTGTGAGGGAAGAAGGGAAAGGAGATTGTTAGCCGCTTTGAGACTCATTCGGGTAGTGATAAAGCGGGATAACAAATCCAAACTCTTCTCTTCTTCTTCTTGGCTGAAGTTGCATTAGGGTTTGTTTGTGGCACATTGATCCCATGGCAATGAGCTTGAAACAAGCAAACAGCCTACTGATTTTCGATGGTAGTTTGCTTTGGATCCTTGAATTTAATTTCAGATGAGAACACTTGCTGTTTAACGTATTGTGCACACCAAGAAGGTTTCTATAGCAGGGTTTTGTTTCAAACTGCTTGCAGTAAATTACACAAATGGGCCTCTTTATTCAATGAGATTTAGAGCCTCTAGGACTTCTGTAGATTTCCATAACTCCCAAATAAACCTGTTCAGCATTGGAGTGCTAGTTTCATGTAAGGAAAAACCTGTCTCCAGGTTCAAGGAAAATAACAGCTTCAGGTGGATTGATTGTTAATCTGAAACGTTTTGGTGTACGTCTCTCATTGGTGCCTTGATTTTCTTCCTTACAAACGCATTTATTTTTATGTATTTATTTTGTTGTTGTTATTGTTATTTATTCTGATTATTTTTACCGTGTAATTGTTTAATGGATGCACTCTTTGAGGCTTTTAAAAAAGATGGTATGAATAGATTCTTGATGTTTGTCTTAATTCAGCATTTCTCATTCAGTACAGATAATAACGCTTAATGGATTGAACTTCTGTTTCTTCATGAATGCTAATTTCTTTCTCTGAATAGGAGTTCCATAGTAAACAGAATATAGGGAAAGGCACAGGAATTGCCTTGCTAATTATGATGCACATTAGCAGCCATGTCAGACAAAACAACAGATGTAAATGTATCGCCATTTTATGAGGTTTGAGTAAATTGGCTGCGCAGCCAATCTATTTTCAAGGTTCTGCAAGTCTTTAATGTATAGGCATAACGCTGTCTAGGAAACTCAAAGGATATCCAGCAATACGATGAATGACTGCAGTTTCCACTCTGATTACAAAGATGAAACATTTATATACTCCTCAAAGGGTAGATATGCGTGATGGAGAACTTGTAGTGTCACAAAGCTTACATACAATCCAGCTGTTAGCGTCTCCTGTCTTAGAGGACTACAGTGCATCTTAGAGCTTTGGAGCACACTCTGTAGTCAGTAAGGGACTGTTGCCCCTGAAAGATATTCTGTGGCAAGTCTTCTGTATTATCAAGAAAAGGGCCATTCTACATGAGGTGGCTCCTCAGAGAGATTGGAGCTCTCTCCTCAGTGGCTAACTACATATTATAGGGAATGTGGGTGGCGCAGTGGTCTAAAGCACTGAGCCTCTTGGGCTTGCCGATCAGAAGGTCGGCAGTTTGAATCCGGGTGATGGGGTGAGCTCCCGTTACTCTGTCCCAGCTCCTGCCAACCTAGTAGTTCGAAAGCACACCAGTACCAGTAGATAAACAGGTACCACTGTGGCAGGAAGGTAAACAGCGTTTCCTTGCGCTCTGGCTTCCGTCACAGTGTCCCATTGTGCCAGAAGCGGTTTAGTCATGCTGGCCACATGACCTGGAAAACTGTCTGTGGACAAACGCTGGCTCCCTTGGCCTGAAAGCGAGATGAGCGCCACAACTCCATAGTCGCCTTTGACTGGACTTAACCATCCAGGGGTCCTTTACCTTCAGCTTACCTTTTACATATTATAGGCAAATGTGTTTAAGAGAGCCCCAACCCAGAGATTTTTTTAAGCTGGAGCTCACCAGAGCTCAGCTCCGATGCCTCTCAGGTGGGCACCATTGCCATTCTTAGAGAACAAGGGAGAAGTTCATGGTGAGCTCATTTTTCTAGAAAAATAGCACCACCCCATCCCTTTTTAAAGGAAAAAAAATCTGCTTCATGGGGGGGGAATTGGGTGAGGAGAAGTAGTGGTATGATTACCTCTTTCCCTGTCTGCCATTTCTCTGTTCCTGAGAGACCCCCATGCATACTTTTTCCTGCCTGTGTGGTTCATGTTGCTTAAGTGTATATATGTGCATGTGGGAAAGACAGAGACAGAGCATGCTGCTGAGCGCTTTGAGATGAAACAGGACATAAATTGAACACATGGATGAACAAATAGGTAGTAGACTGCCCATGTGGCCTGAGCTTCTGGTTCATGTCTGTGCTGTGGCACAATAATCTGTTCTCTCTCGTGCGCACACACATGGCTGCTGTAGAAACATGCACACTATCCCATTCTAAGTCCACCAGGTCAGGGTCTGGTCTGGAACCATAACACTTTCCTCCTCTTTTAGTGTCACTAATTGGGGCCTTGACTCTCTATATGAATCTGCCACATAAGAATAAGAAATATCCACTTGCAGTTTTTTAAAAAAACCCAGAGATACATATTTTCTTACTCAGTTTTACATGCAAACACTGTAATTAAATTAAAACAGTTGCATGTGTATGCAACAAACTAATATTTTGAGACTACTATCTGAAAAAAAAAACACCTTGTAGATTTTTATCCATTGAAATGTTAGAAATGAACGTTTGGATGAATAAGACTTTTTTTTTTGTCACTTGAAGCAATACTGTGCATATTTAAGCAAGTACAAAAGCAGTGTATAAAAGAGAGAAATTAATGTTAATGTCTCTATTGATTTCTGTAGAACTAGATAGCCTGCTGTTTAATTATGTCACAGCAGCACTTAGGCAATAGCCTTGATAAGATTATTTAATGGGTTGAACAGCAGGGCAGAACAATAAAACTGATTTTTTCATTTGTCTTATTATGGCCGGCTAATCTTTGGTTAAGGCTGCGCAAAATTCTCCTTGGGCCCTAGGCCTCTAAATGTGTTCAGCAATCTTATTCTTGCTAAATTTATGCCCTTTACTTTATTCCAGATTTGCTTTTAGTTTTTCCCTCGGGGGTGCAAAGTTTAATGGATATGGCGCTTTGAAGACTCTTCTAATGCATTTTTCGAGCCCCGCCAACAATGGGATGTTAGCTTAGGCCATGTCATGGGATCTGCCTGCAGCCCTTCAGGGAGATATAGAATCCATGAAATGGGAAGACTTACAGTGCTCTCACTAAAAGTCCAGATGTAAAATTACCATGTCTATTATTAATGAAACACTTAAAATATGGTTGGCCTGGGGTAGACATGACATGATATTTCTCATTGGTGTGGAGAGTGCTTGAAGGGAACATCTGGGGAACCTTGGCTGTTTCTATATGGAGCAAAGTCCTTTGTTGGAGTATTCCCTCCTCCCAGACTCTTCCCCATCCTCCTTTTGTGTGGGGCTACAGAGAACAGCACAGCAATTGCTTGCAAACATCCCAGGATGCCATGTGGAACAGCAGACAAGGACTTTCTTGTACAGCTGCTGGAGAGGAGCGCTCCAGCTTGCCTCCTGAAATGGAACCCTTCACAACCAGCGAGATTTGCTGCTGATGTCTCCTGTTGAAGGTCTGCAGATCTGCAGATCTGCAGGTGGGAATAATGGAACAGTTTCAGGAGGCAGATTGGAGCTCTCTTTACTTAGCAGAGCCACAAATTAATAAGCACTTGGCTGTTCTTTAGGAGCAGGTCTGATGTTCCCTGTGAATTCTTCCTTTACAGACCATGCAGACCGCTGGCCTTCAGCTGCGTGGTGGTGGGGCCCCTGTTGTGACCTCAGGCTGTGAGCCACTAGTGCAGAGCTTTCCAAACTGTGCGTCGCGACACGTTAGTGTGTCGGCTGCATTGTGCAGCACGAATGCTCCCCGCGCTCCTACCGGGGCTGGAAAGGGGTTAGTTTAACCTCTGGTTTTCTAGTAAATCTGAATTACTGTCTCGCAAAGTGATGCATTTCTTAAAAGTGTGTCACCCAGAGACATCTTTCCCATTGTTTACTGGCGCGTTGCGCCAGGGTGCTGGCATCTCAGGGGTCTGCACGGCTTTGCCGGTGGCTTCCCCTTTCCCTCCTGCATGCCCAGCAGCTGCGCCCCCTCAACCATATGGCTGGCGGGTGTGAAGCTTGCCTCCCAAGCCTCTGTGGGAGGAGAGTGATCCTTGTAGAGGCTTGGGAAAAGGTCGACAACTCTGGGAAACGGGGGGGGGGGCACTGGAGGGATCTTTGCACCATGGCGCCAGATATGCTTAAGACGGCCCTGGTGTCACCAACATGAAAAGCTTGGAAAGCACTAGTCGGCCGGAAACCTACTAGTGTGGGTCACAACCTGATCCAAGATAGGTCACAATAGGAGCACTACCACCATGCAAACCTACAGCAAAAAATTAAGAAATGGGTTCCCAAATGCATGTTTGGCTTAAAAGTGCGCCCTAGATCTTAAAGAGGTTGAAGATATCTAATGTGGAACATTGTGGGGAAGTTC